GAGAGGATGGTCCTTCTCCGGTCGAGCCAACCCATTCGTGCTACAATCATATTATAGCCGCAGCGTGGCTCTACCACGCAAATCCTCCTAGGCCAAGGCGGGGTGGGTTGCTATTACATTGTATAGTACCTATATGACAGTTCATACAATTAGATTCCCGTTGGCATCAATAAAGATTAAAAGATATTCCATTTATCCAGCCTAAAACAGCCACCCTAGAGTGGATACTCGGAATTCGTTTCTGATTATTCTTTGTACGAAACTACGAAACGTCGAAAACGTCTCAGTACGAACTGTAAATATACTGATACGCTATATTATATTATTAATTAATTTTTAATAACCACAAACTTACTCGTTCCTAGAAAAAAGACATTTTAAAATTTTAAACCGTACCATGCCAATACTGTGAGTGATTGTGATTGTGATTTATTTATTTATACCTACACCCAAACGAGTAAAATTATAATTGAAACTAATTGCAATAATACAATTCTATCATTATCGACGTCGAAATGTCACATCGAATGACAGCCTTATACAAAGAAAATATGATCACTACGTTTACTTGGCCCTAGGTTTTAGCTTTGACCTTCAAAACAACAAGTTATCATCATCATTACAGCCCTTGTTGTAAATGTATGTTTTAATAAATGACTATACACAGCCGGAGGAGAATGTTGAAAGAAAAATAATATGTGAATTCCGACTATCCAACCCATCAGGGGTGGATAGATGAACATGCGTTTCCAAGCCAGCCAGCCACCTTAGTCAACCTAAGGTGGCTATTTTAGGGTGAATGAACGGAACAATCGGAATTGCGATTTTAAGTGCTGATTTTGATTAATCGGGCGCTTGAATGTAAAGAAAAAAAATCTGTTGATCTCAAATCACTATCACAATGTTCGATTTCAAAACACTCGACAAATATTCCACCACGAAGTCTTCGAGCTTAAAAATCTAGTAGTCCCATCTAAATCCGATATTTCGAAGTTATTAAAAAAAAACACTCTTTTTGAATTTTTTTACCAAGGTAACTTTCGAACGGTTCAATGGATTTTGGTGTAATTGGTGACAATAGATGAGGTATTTTAAGAACAAAATAAAAAAAATATTATATAAAAAACAGTTTTTCAATTCAAACAATTCAAAAGTTATGTGAAAAAGCACTTTTTTCGAAATTTTACGTCAACGATTTCTCTTCAACGCATTAACCGATTTTGAAGCGGTTCGGAGCAATCAACGTTGTTTTCCATGTTTCATGAGCTGATTAGATTTTTACCTAAATTGATCGTTACATCTGTTTAAGAATAATTCCAAAAATATTTTTTTTAAATTTTATTTTTGAGACTAAAACTTTAGCTTGTTAATTTATATTTATTTATTTTGACGGCTCCGTGGCGCAGTGGCTTAGCAATGAGTTGCAACGTTGAGGGCCGCGGGTTCGAATTCCGCACGGAACAAATTTGTATGCCTACAAATAATTGTTCCGGGTCTGGATGTTTGTCCTTATGAAATTTATATATGTAAACTGCCTCCACGATATAGGAAAAAATCCAAGTGTGGAGGTACTGACGTTTAACAAACAAAATTAAATTAAATTTAAGGTAATAGAAAAGGACAGAAGATTACGAATTCGTTGTTTTTCATCTTTTTCATTATCAACCATTCCATTACTGAATTTTAATCGTTAAAAAAAGTTTTTACACATTATTTTAATGTACTCGTATAATGGAAACGATTTATATACCTTATTACATTTTGACGCTTGTTACAGCCAAATCGATTAGGTAACTTAAATATCATGTAATTGAGTCCTTTAGAAAACCGATAGTGTATTTTAACTTTAATTACTATAATCGTTTACTATTTTCGACAGACGTCTCGTTCTTGAAATTTCAAATAACTTTTTACCGTAATTGAATTACAGGTTATGATTATAGTTTAGATTTGATGTTTGCATACAGCTACGCTTCGTAAAGCTTGAAAAACGGAAACCAAGTTACTAGTAACTTTTTAATAGGTATATTCGGGTAACAATCAACGTAATAGTCAAAGCTATTTCAGCCTATAAAACAGGTGTATACAGGCTGTAATTACTACAAACAAAGAATTTTAACGAAGATATTTAAGGTGTGTTATTAATTTTGAGAATCCTAATGAAATACCACATCAATATACATTGTTACAATATACATGCGTTATTACCCTATAATTTAGAATGTAACAATACGTGAACTGTTCGTTGGTGGCAGAAATAGGTGAAAGGATGATACCAATACAGACGCAGTTAGCAAAAGGAAGGGCGCCTTTTTGGTAACGTCTTCTTCTTTACAATCAGTGTCTTGCTGGTAATTCTCATCTTGCTTAGATTTGCCGCAACCATCATAATTATTTGACGATTATGATCAAAACACCCGACGTATTCTTTAATAGTAGGTACTCCTGTCATCTCTGGTTACACCATCATCTAGTGGAGGGAGGATGATCTTTTGGATGGACCTTCACAAGTCTACTGCTGAACATAGGCGAAGGCCAAGGGGGAAGCCCAAGGAATGTCACAAAGCACGGTCATGATAAGGACGATCACCGAGCTATGCAGAGGGCTATGCTCGGGGTTTCTCTGCGTGATAAACGTAGAAATGAGGATATCTGCAGTAGAATCAGAGTGACCGACATAGCCCAACGGATAGTAAGCAGAAGTGGCAATGAGCCGGCCATATAGCTCGAAGAACCGACAACTGATGGGGAAAAAAGGTTCTCGAGTGACGGCCTCGTATCGGCGGACGAAGTGTAGGGTGTCCCCCCACGAAATGGAGTGACGACCTGGTAAGTAGAACCTAATATAATATAAATATTGACAAGATGGTGGGACTCCTTGGTTTTTTGCCTAGAATTCCATTTTGCTCCGGTCTGAAAGGTGTTCCATTTTAATTTAGATATAATAAAACAACAAATATGAATTAAGAAAAAATAAAGATTTTTTTTATCAATTCAGAATCAGAGGCCGGTTACTACTATTAATTTCGATCCAATTGCTTTCGCAACAATACTCTCCTGAGCTCTATTTAGTCTGCCTCTTCTTACTGCCGTGCATCCAATATTAAAATGAACTTGAATCTTGAAAGCAGCCGTGCAATGAGCTCAGCGGTCTCTCGTCACTTTGCCACCAAATCCCAGACTTACCAGTAAGGGAATCGTCTTAAGAATCATCAGTCTGCGTCAGCGCAAGCGCGTGAATAGACGTAGTAACAAAGCGATTGCTAAATTCAGGGGGTGGGGCAATGGCCTCTTATACAGTGAAATGTAATAATTGCAATATTGTGATTTCTGAGTTATTAGCCTTCATTCAAAACAAGGCTGATGTTATGGATGAAGAAAGCATTATACGTCTGTGTACTAGTTCGTTTTCGAGTGAGGAAGTGGTACAAGCGAAAAATTTACTTTTTGAGTCTATTACTACAACGAGCCGAAAGATTACGCGCAAGAAAGAAGGGAAGATGCAGCGTGATATCGAAGATATTATTAGTGTAATTAAAAGGACGGACCCAGAAAAAATGCCCATATTCGTTGCAAAAGACCTCCAAAAATTACCGCCGTTTACTTTTGATCATGTTGATGCGACTAGGCTGCTAAAAGATATCATTAGTTTGAAAAATGATATGAAAATTATAAAAGAGAAGTATGTGACTTTAGAAATGTTGGAAGAGAGAGTTCCGTTTTTAGAAAAAAATCAAAATATTGACAAAAGAAGACGCGGGTATTTATTAAATAACAGTTTGAATGTTGATAGCGGCCCAATTGGTTTAACGCATATACACAGCGAGTCAACAACCGCTACAAGCGAGGTCAATGAGTTGGCGCGCTCTGATAAGGACTTACCTGTCCTATTCTCACGCGATATTCCTGTCTCGCTGGCACCAGTATCTGTACATCGCTGCGAGGAGAGTTCTCCTGTGAGTAGCGGGGCGCAATTAGAGGCCCGTACCGTGGTTGCGACGAATGTAGCTAACTGTGCTAACACCGCTACGTCTGCGCTTACGCACTCCGAGCCTACACCGATTAGCGGAAACGGTGCGAATAAAAAAGATGTAACAGCAATGAGCTCGGGTCGTAAAAGGTTCTCCGATGTGGTGCGCGAGGGTGGTCAATGGAAACCAGAAGCACCAAAGGATGAATGGATTCTTTTGCAAAGAAGACGGTTGCGAAATCGTTTTATGGCGAAAAAAGGCAAAGCAGATTTAGAGGTAGATTGCGGTTTCAAGGCGGCGGATGTTAAAATTCCATTTTACATTTATAATGTTGACAAAAATGCCTGTGTTGATGATATAAGTAAATACATTATGAGCAAAACAAGCGTGGAAGTTGCTTTGGAGAGAGTGAACATGAGGCAGAAAAAGGAATACGAAGCGTATAAGTTCCTTATTCCGAAACATAAGCTGTCCGTTTTTATGGACGAAAATATATGGCCTCAAGGTGTGTCGTTTCGAAGATTTGTAACGTTCAACAAAAGAAATGATAAGAATGATAACGCTCCAAGGCGTGACAGCGAGAGATAAAATATTGAAAAAAAAAGGAAAAGGTAATTAAAGAGAATAGTATATAAAAGAAAAACAAAAGTTTGAGAAAAAGAAATGGGCAGTCGGTTGAACGGTGTGCCTAGCAAGTTTTTGAGCTTTAACTGTAAATCGTTGAAAAGATCCATAGAATGTGTTCAGTCACTATGTAAAACGGCTGATATTATAGCATTACAGGAGACCTGGCTACTTCCTCACGAAATACCGAGTCTCGGCAATATAAATCAGGATTTCGGTTTCTTCGGTAAGTCGGCGATGGATACTTCGGCAGGAATCTTATACGGTCGACCGTACGGTGGAGTTGCTCTTTTATGGCGAAAGAGTGTCTTTAGTTCGGTCTCCGTTATTGTGTGCAATAGTGAGCGTATTGTAGCAATTAAAGTGAATGTAGGGAACAGTCCTTTACTTATATTTAGTGTTTACATGCCAACGGATTGCTCTGAAAATTTGTTAGAATTTAGTGACTGTTTGAGTGAAATTGCAGCGATTGTTGAGAATCAAAATGTAGAATCTGTTTTTATTTTAGGGGACTTTAATGCACATCCGGGAAAATTATTCTGTAAGGAATTACTTAGTTTTTGTTTTGATCAAAATTGGTTATGTGCTGATATGTCAAAATTAGGTGAAAACTCAGATACCTATACTTTTATTAGTGAGGCGCACGGTAGCAGGCGCTGGCTTGATCATTGTGTGGTCACCAATGCTGCCTGGAATGTGGTGGTCGGTGTGGATATATATTATGACATTTACTGGTCGGATCACTTCCCACTGGAGATACAGTGTGACCTCTCGATGGTCAGACCTAAATTTGAATTGTTAAATAGGGTAAGCATAAATAAGGTAGTTTGGGGACAAAGAGACGAAGGACAAATTGCAACATACCATGATCTTTGTGTAAAAAAACTGAGAGAGATTAATACTTTTAATGAATATATTCCATGCTGTGATAGATTGTGTTATAACCTTGATCATAGAAAATCTATAGATACAATGTATAATAAAATTGTGACATCATTGTCAGAGGCCGCTGTATCTAGTTATAATAAGGGAAAGTGTAGGAAGGGCGTTCGTATTGTTGGCTGGAATAGACATGTCAAGGATGCTCACCGGGACGCTAGGCAGAAATTTATAAATTGGGTGTGGCATGGCAAGCCTATTGGTGGTAAATTGTATAAAGAAATGTATGAATCCAAAAAGTTATTTAAACAGAAATTAAAATTTTGCCAAAATAATGAATACCAAATTAAAATGGACATGTTAGTTCAAAAGCATAAAAAGAAAGACTTTAAAAATTTTTGGAAGCAAACGAAAAAGGTGACTCCTAAGCCGAGCATCCCGGTGAGCATTGAGGGTGTAAATGAGCCAGGAGAGATAGCAAACTTATTTAAAGAGCATTTTAGGGTAAAATCACCGAACATTTCATCGCGGACGGTGTCATATGTTGAGGACTGCCAGACGGGCGTGCCAATTAGTTTTGCACCGAGTGATGTTTTTGATATAATTAAAAGCATGGCGAGGGGTAAATCGCCAGGGCACGACGGCCTCAGCATTGAGCACCTTCTGCACGCAGGGCCTCATCTCTCCGGGCTTCTAGCTACTTTCTACACCCTTTGTATTAGACATTCCTATCTTCCTGAGCAGCTGATGAGAACTATAGTTGTGCCTATAGTAAAAAATAAAACTGGAGATATCTCCGACAAAGAGAACTATAGGCCCATCTCATTAGCTACTATTATGGCTAAGGTACTTGACAGTCTGCTTGAGCGGCATCTCAGTGGATATCTAAAATTACATGATGCTCAGTTCGGCTTTAAAAAGAGTCTCTCCACTGAGAGTGCAATATTAACACTCAAGCATACTGTTGGGTACTACACCAATAGGAAAACTCCAATTTACGCTGCATTCCTGGATCTGTCTAAAGCATTTGACCTGGTTAATTATGATATTTTGTGGAAGAAGTTGCGTGACGTGGTCTTACCAAGCGAGTTGATTGAAATTTTTAAATACTGGTATGGCCACCAACTAAATCAGGTCAGATGGACAGAGGTACTCTCTGACGAGTACAGGTTAGAGTGCGGGGTGAGACAGGGTGGCCGGACTTCACCAGCGCTCTTCAACCTGTATATAAACCAGTTGATCGTTGAGCTCAGCAACACTGGTGTGGGCTGCTCAATTGATGGGCATTTCGTTAATAGCATAAGCTATGCAGACGACATGGTGTTGCTGAGCCCTTCAATTAACGCACTGAGGATATTATTGAATGTTTGTGATACCTATGCTGAGACCCACGGTCTCATTTATAACGTTAAAAAAAGTGTATTATTGGTGTTTCGCGCTGGATCAAAAATTGAATCGATTCCTCCTGTTAAGTTGAGGAACGTACAGTTAAATAGGGTGTTCCAGTTTAGGTATCTTGGTCACGTATTAACCGAGGATCTGACTGATGATGCGGACATAGAAAGAGAAAGAAGGGCATTGGCGGTTCGCTGTAACATGCTGTCCCGTAGCTTTGCACGCTGTACTGAAGAAGTTAAAATAACACTTTTCAAAGCCTTTTGTCAGTCATTTTACACGTGCAGTCTATGGGTTAAGTATACGCAGAGAGCCTACAATGCCCTTCGGGTACAATATAACAATGCCTTCAGGGTGCTGATGGGACTTCCGCGGTATTGTAGCGCTTCAGGGATGTTTACAGTGTACGGTACGGATGACTTTCATGCTATTATCCGAAAGAGAATCGCATCCCTATTGCGCAGGGTTCGTGGGAGCTCCAATAGCATTCTGAGGGCAATATCTGATAAATTTGATTGTCCCATCCTAGGACACTGGATGCGTATGCACTTGCATGTGCCTGGTGTCATGGGGTGTCGAAAATAAAAATAATTGAAATTAAAAATGTGTGTGTAATAATTTAAGACTAACATAGGTTAAGCTAATTACTAACATAATTATGGACTATATGTGGGTCTGAAATAAATTATTATTATTATATTATTATTATTAAGAATAGTTATATGATGTTAGAGTAAAATATATAGGATAACTGACTATGAGTACACAAAGCTGTGTTAAATATCTTACGATCAAATAAGACAAACAAACGCGAATGCTCGTTAACGAGATTGAGATGTCAGTGTCGCTCTGCTTTGACGTTCTCATGCCCGATTCTCGTTTAGCACTATGCTTGTCTCCTTCCCTTCACCCTTTGTCTTCGTTACTCGTTACTTAACATCTTCCACGCATCGATCACATAAAACACGTAGGCGATTTTGTGCCAATATTTTATAGTGATCATTTTTTAATAATTAATAAAATATTAAAAGAACAAATATAAGTAAAGGCTGCGAGGCATTCCATCTGAGTCCTTAGATGTTACAGCGCATCTGTGGCCTTTTTTGTTTGAAGATGGCTAAAGGTATTCATGGACTGTTGGATTTCACATGCAGTGCAGTCCTCTAATTTTGTGAATTATAGAAACCGATCAGAATCATCCACCCTTCTTTATTGATTTATTAAGAACTTATGTCTTTCGAAGTCCCTAACTTTCGAAGACCATGTGAGCAAATTGCTCGAAGAGGGTAGGGTCAAGAGTACTCGGATACCTAGACGTGCATGCATGAAGAAGATAATGAATCTGAAAGAAGCGAAAGAGATATGTAAGGATCGTGACACTTGGCGATCTGTTCTCTCTGGCTACCCCGTCAGGGATTGTGCGTGAAGATAAGTAAGTAAGTAAATGTCTTTAACAGTAGAATACAATGGACACTTCACGATCGTTAAATAAGTCCAAGGTAACGAATATCTTTTGGTGCCTGTGAACACGATTATGTACTTAAAGTAAATTGTGTTAAAGAAACTTGTGTCCTATGGGTGTTGCCGCGATAAGGCGGTTAAAGTGAAATTAAAATAATGTGAAATTAAAGTGAAAATATGTTAGTTGCGTGTCCTCTCCACAAGGAAAGTTTTAAACTTTATAAAGTTCCCTGAGCAACAACATTAAAGGAACGAATTCGCGCATTACCTACTTCTCAGTTCCTTTAATTTTCAAGGATAAAATAACGTGTGATTTTCCTTGGCGCCCTTTATTTCTTCCTTTTCAATTCTTGAGGAAAATATTATTCTCTTTTTTTATAGGATAGGGTGACAAACAAGCACACAGTCCACCTGATGGTAAGTGGTTGCTGTGGCCCATAGACATCTGCATCTACCCTCGATTACGAATCAAACTGTAGATGCGTTGTCACCCGTGAAGACTAAGATGGAATACTTCGTTTCCAGTAAAAAGGATCTTCGGTTCTCTACGCTCACCATACGAAACACAGCAGTGTTTAGCTGCTATTTTACGCTAGTATTCTGTGAGAGCGTGGTCCTTCCCCGCTCGAGCCGACCCATTCGTGCTACAACTATACCAGAAATATAGCTGCAGCATGGCTCTACCACGTATAAAATCTCATTCATTCATTGCAGCCTTTCAAAAGTGTAGCGCTAAATGAAGGTCTCCCCCATACCGTATTTACACGTGGTAGATCCATGCTGCAGATGCAGGTATTAGCACGAAAGGGTCACCTCCACCGGGGAAGAATCAAGCTCCCACAGAATACCAGCGTACATCTGGGTATGATTCCTATCCTTTTGGCGGGCTTTTACGAACACTCATTTTTAGTTAAAATTATTATAAGGTATTTGAAGGTATTTGAAGGTAGCAGTGTTATCACGATAGTTATTTGCAATTCAAGTAAGATATAAGCGATTAACACGGTGGTATAAGCAAGGCGAAACGAAGCACACGTTGGCTATACTATACTCGCAAACTAGTGATTAATGAGTCTGAGCACCACCGAATCTCTAGCCTTCCCGTACGCCCTCGATCGTTGTCACTGACAAAATTTATAGTAAACACAAACGAAATGCACTGTTGATTGAAAACAAAATGCTATGAGTTAACTGAACACAATAGAGGAACAAATTTTGTACACGTGCAACCATCGACGGCTCCGTGGTGCAGTGGCTTAGCAATGAGTTGCTGCGCTTGGGGCCGCGGGTTCGAATCCTGCACGGAACAAGTATTTGTATGGCCTACAAATAATTGTTCCGGGTCTGGATGTTTGTCCTTGTGCAATTTGTATTTGTAAACTGCCTCCACGATACAGGAGAAAATCCTATTGCGGTGGTAACGTTTTTTAAGATAAAAAAAAAGTAGAAACACGCAACAAGACTTAATGCGTAATACTGCTGTGTTTCGTGTGGTGAGTGTAGTAGTAGTTAGTAGTTAGTCCTCAGAGGTGAAAACGCATCTGCATTTTGATTCTTAATTGAGGATAATTGTAGATTTCTAAGGACCACAACATGCACTGTGTCCGTTAACCACCTTTATTCTATTTTTAAAAAAATTACCTGTAGGTTGCCTTATATTATTTGCCACAGTTGCTACGCTTACTATGCGGGTTTAGAACTGTCGTTTTATATTATTTAAGTTATCAAGATGCTGCTCCGTATGTCCTGTTTTACTCGTATTACTCACTACGCCTCCTACGACACTAACGTTAAAGTTAATGTTATAGCTAATATACGTCCCACTGCTGGGCATAGGTCTCCTCTCATTTCTGAGAGGATTTAGGGCAAGGAAGTGTCCTCCGCGCGGCACCAATGCGTGTTAACGAACTTCACATGTCCTCGAAATACTTTTTTTTCTTAATACTCAGACATGCAGGTTTCCTCACGATGTTTTCCTTCACCGCCAAGCACGTGGTAAATCAGCACTTAAAATTGCAATTAACCATTTCATTGGTGCCGACGGGGATCGAACCCGGGTTGCTCGCGTACTGTGAAATTTACCGCAAGCGCCAACCATCTGAGCTACCACGGCTCTCAAAAAAAAACTTTAAACTCACAGTAGGATAATTTCCTGTACCGTGGAGGTATTTCACATACATAAATTGCACATAGACTAGCCCACGGGCCTGGTTCAATTATTGGTTGGCCATACAAATACTTGTTCCGGACGGGACTCAAACACGCGGCTCCTTACCTTACCATCATTGTTTTCAGATACTTGTGTTCCTACTCGCTGTTTATTTTTAGCTAAGATATTATTTTGTATACTCTACTAACTGGCCTGGTGCCTGCCTGCCCTTTTTGGTAGGTCCCATGAATTTTACTGTAGGTAAATTCACTCCAGAACTTTTGCAGTATGTATTTAAAATAAAAGTAAATTTGTAACTCATTACAACGCCACCTATTGAGCACAGATTCAGTTATTTCCTTTTCTTGGCACTAAAACAAAATATATATAAGTAAAATTAATGTGAGTACTTTTGGTATATATTAGAATTTGTTAATAACTTGCTACAGCGCTACCTACCGGATCCAAGCTTATCTATCCTTAACAAGTGAAACCGTATGGAAGTAGCACAGCCACTAACAGACGTACCATCATTTTATATATGTAAATATTATTTATTATCTGAATATAAACTCTCATGAATTTATTAACTTGTCTAGTAGGAAGGGAACAGACCCTTGTCCAGTGGTGAACTATATAATGAACTAATATAGCGGATAAAAAAGAAGATGAACACTTAAAACAATGTTATAGGAATTTCTGAAAAATTCGTCAGAGTTGAGACATAACTCAAGGGCCGGCTGCTCGTCTACAATCTACTTTAGGGCTATCATAAAAGCGTGCAAATTATCAATTTTATATTTTAATAAAATAATAAACTCGTGTTAGAAAAAATTGGGTCGAATATTAAATTCGCTCTGAAGAAAATGAATAATAAGATTCAAAAGCCGTTCACTTAGCTTTGTAGAGAAAAATTCATGAAAATTGCAAAGCAAACTGTTTGAGAAGCTTATTATAAAGTTGTTCAATACATAGAGGACACAGATGTTGGAAAATAAATAGCTGCACCAGCGATTCGACGACCTATTGATGTTTATTTTGAACTCGATGCAGTGCTATTTTATTTTTATAAATTTAAATCAATAACTCTCTATTATTTTTTATATTGTTCCAAATCGTCACTTGGGTATCCTTATAAGGCGACTATGCGGTATATGGCAAAAGATCATACAGTTGCCGATAAACGCCAGCATATCCATCTCGTTAACGCCACACCACATATTAAATAATGTTACTAGCCAGACTTCGAGATCGGCGACAGGAAACAGCGCCAAGGAGTGTCACAAAGAACGGTCCAAAGCCATGCATCGATTTCCTGCATGTCTTACCGTCGTCACTCCATCTAGTGGAGGGACCTTTTTTCCCCCTATGATAATAACCCCTGGGAATGAGGTGGTCACTTCCAAGCTGTTTCTAAAATAAATTTTGTAAATAGTTCGTAATCATTTATGTTGTAAAATTGATTTAAAAAAAAGTCCCGCTGGGTTTCTTGCTGGTTCTTCCCAGGACAGAGGGTTTTTTTCGAACCAGTGGTAAAGTAAAAAATGACTTTCAATAAGAATTACACATGTAATGTATATTGAATAAAAAGTTATTCTATTCTATTCCCAAACGGTTGTCGGGTCTTCGAGCTATATGGCCGGCCTATTGCCTCTTCAGGTTACTAATCCGCACGTATCAGATCCGTTGTACTGACCATCATTATTAATTTAATATGTTATAAAAATGCTGGAGTGAAACTCACGGCACCTACCAGAAGGGCAGGCAGGCACTAGGCTAGCTAGTAGAGTATGCAAAACTGTAATGCAAAGCCGATCTGCTAGGCTCTTTTATTATTTTCAACTAGAACTTCGATGATGGGGGATTACAGCGCTGACCATCGTGCGGTTTGAGTGTTCCATGCGGGATGTGTGATTCATACAGCGCTAGTTTCGCAAAGAAGTCAAGTGAGCCTGACGGAATCTCCCCAATTTTG